ACCCAGAGGAGCTTACATCAACAATACTTACCTGGTACATTGTTTGCATAGCAAAAGAGCAGGTTTAGGTCACTCTTCTTGCCATGAACAGAAGTGATGTGTGAGGTAGACATGTCACATGTAACTTGATATATATATATATATATATATATATATATATATATATGGAAACATGATTTCATGCTCTTTCTGAATTCTTCATTGAAGAATGATTTTGCATTATAACTGTAATAGAGGGGAAGACCTATTCCTTCACTGTGGAAAAATTCTTGTTGCTGGGAAAAGTGAATGACTTGAACAAAGTGCATTCCTAACCTGAATCCCCATTTGTAATGTACACTATATCATAGCATGAAGCATTTTATCTATAAAATGTACTATGTAAATTGTCTAAATGGTGGTTATACAGTGAAGTAAGCTAAATGCTTTAATGTTATTTTCTTGTTTTTCTTTTGTTTATACCTTCCAAATTTAATAGAACTTTTTTTCTTACATATGGCTTTAGTCTTTCATTTTTTTTCTGAAACATATTTGAGTAAGGATCACAGGAGGGCATTTTCTTGATTTTATTAGGTTGAAGTCTAGGGGTTCTGGGAGATGCATGGTAGTAAAGACTATGGGTGTGCATGTAAATACCATGTAGTTGCTGTTTTTTAAAACTAGTAACAGTTTCCAAGCTTCCTAAGCAGACATTCAAATCAGATAGCATACAGAGCCAGGAAGTTACTAATACAAATATTTATTTATTTATTTGGAATTTTTGTATGCTGTCCCATTCGCATAAGCCTTGGGACGGCTTCCAACATCATAAATGAATACACATACAAATACATACATATAAAATCTGGATACATCCTGGCTCAATGTTTTAAAACCAATAAATAAAATCAACAATTATTTAAATATCATTTAAATAAAAAGGTCTTGGTCTGGTGCCAAAAAACAAATAGCGACGGCACCAAGTGGACCTCTCTGGGGAGCGCATTCCATAAGTGGGGTGCTACCGCAGAGAAAACCCTCCTCTGGGTACTCACCTTCCTAATATCTTTCACGGAGGGTTCCCAGAGAAGGGCCGCTGCCGCTCATCTCAAGGGGTGGGAGGGCAAATATGGACGCAGGCGTTCCTTTAGATATCCAGGTCCCAAGCTGTTAAGGGCTTTGTAGGTGATAACCAGCACCTTGAATTGGGCCTGGACTTCGATGGGGAGCCAGTGAAGCTGGTAGAGGACTGGGGTTAACTTCTAATTAGTTGAGACAGTTGGCTAAGAACGCATCTTCATTTCTTCAGGGATAATACATGCAAGATGTTAACCAAGATATAGTAGTTATATATAAATGGTGGAAATCCTTGTTTTGAAAGCAACATAGTCTGTTTACACCACACTCACATTATTTTGTTGCCATGTATAATTAGGACATGATGTATTGCGTGTTCTGAAAGCAAAGTGGCTAGCTGGCTGGGAAAGCCAGAAATTCATAGGATTTTTCCTATCTAAGCAGGCATCGGATTGCACCATTAAATACAGAGAATTCATGTGGATTCTTTCCACCTTATCTTCTGTAAGGGCCTAAAACTGTTCCTGAAACTACTTTATCTTCCTACATACACATTCACTGGCTTTTTACTAGCAACACTCATACCCAAGGAGGTATGGCAGACACACAGTGGAGTTGTTCTTTGTGTAGACAAGGATTTGTCTCTTAACAAATCTCAGTGTTTGTGTATCTAGTGCAAGCAGGTCCCTAATTGCATATTTTCATAGAGTTGGTGTGAACAGGTCTGTTTGCTCCAGAGGAAAATGGAAAAGATTGCATTAGCAAATCAAGAACTCATTCTAGGATTCCTAAAGGAATATACTATGTTGTAATGGTGCCTTATGGGTGTGCAAAAGTCTTGCTCTCATTTCAGAAAGCCACATTAGGAGAGTGTATCTCTCCATCTTGTAGCAGCGTTTTAATATTCTGGCTTCTTTTATATGAGGCTCTCTTTTCTGTCAGATTTTTCAGCATTAACAAAATCAGTGAGCAGGAGTTAAAAAGGAAGAATCTATTTCTACTGTAGTTTGGTCAGCAAATATTGTTTTTTCATAAAACCTGAAATGGTTCACACTGAAGGTGCTTCCAGTTCTTGGAAGACTTGAGAACTTGGCCTATCCATGGTTCATCTAAAATCTGCCTTTAATTGCGTTATAAGTAATAGTTGTCGCCAAACAGATTAGTCAGGATGTCCCCAAAGATGTTAAATGGATGTTGGATATGTGAACATAAATTGGGTATTTTTTATTGTATAGAGTAAAGGAAGTGATACAAAAGTTTTTAGTTCCTTAAATTTGAAATTTCCTTTTTAGTAGATATTAGACTGGAATATTAGTAAATAAAAACATATTTGATTTTATTTGTAACTAGATTAGTGGGGATTCTACCTGTCTAATATTAGAAAAAGTAAATAATTTTGAATTGTATAGAAATGGCTAGATTAAATTTACCATCGAAGAAGAAAGAAGATTGTGACTTTTATCACATTTGGGGATTCTTTATTTTAATATTGATTAGAGAAATGGGACTTTGCAAGAAATGGACGGACTGATCTTACTAATGAAGGAGAAAGAAGATATTGACATCTATCAAACTTGGAAACTTTTTTTAAATTATTGGCTGGAGAAACAGAACTTGGCTTAGATCTAAAGATGTTTTCAAGTTATTATAAATGGATTGAATATGATCATAGAATGTTAAAAGATGTGTAGTAGGGGGCTGACCCAATGCGTCCGATGTACGTGATGATAGATGTTTTTAGTATTAGTTTAGAATTTTAATAAAAATTCTCCAAAAAAAATAAAAATCTGCCTTTAATTGAAAGAACAGTTCAGATGTGTAACATTTTCTTACACCCTTTTCTAATTTTCATTCAAATCTTTATTTTATTTTAGACTTGCTGGTCCTTCCCCATCAAAGTGGTTTCAGGACCTAGGTCTCATGTTTGGGACTGAATGCCTATATATTCTTTCAGGAATATGATTACTTTCAATAAATGGGTACCCTATTCCTCCCACCCCCTTACGTTTCACTTGCTCAGTCTGTAGCAGCCTCAGGTCTAGGATAGCTTCCATCCATATCTTATCCAGTTGAGCCCTATGGCAATATATTTTATATTGTTTAACTTGCAGAGCCCTTAAGGTAGACTGAAAGCATCTTAAGTAATGTGGAATTCTTCAGAATGTAGTCTGAATTAAATTCTTTAAAAATTATCCTTTGCATATAAAGGTTCTTTAGTTAGCCTGTCCATTCCACTGTTGTGTTAAAGGACTATGAGAGGTTGTTCTTCAACAGTGCCATCTTCTTTGCTTGGTGACCTATTTGGAACATTCATCTGCAAGGGGAGGACAGGTGGTGTCTGTGGGGGTGAAGCCTAGGTTAGCACTTCTCTTTAAAAGAGTACAATGCTTTGTAAGCAACCACCTTGGATCCCTTGCAAAAAAAAAAGTGGGATATAATATAATAACCTGAGTAAAAGTAGATTCTAGGGATGAGAAGCGGGAAGAATCATCCTTTTGCATAATGTCTGGGACATTAGGAGTTAAAATAGTTTACTGTTTCTGTCAGTTACCAAGACTAGAACAGGTAAAACAGATAGCCAGTGTGGTGTAGTGGTTAAAGGTGTGGGTCTGGGACTCAGTAGATCTGGGTTCTACATAGTTCCTGCTCGGCCATGGAACTAACAGAGTGATCTTGGGCCAGTCACAGATTCTCAACCCAAAATACCTTGGGCTGTTTTGAGGTTAAGATTGAGAGGAGGGGGAGAACTGTGTAAGCCACGTTGAGTTCCTTGGAAGGAAAAAAAAGAATATAAATATAGTAAATACAGAATTTGTTGAGCTGTTTGAGGGAAGCTAAGTTGTGCAGATGTAAAGAAAGCCACCTCTACCAAGAAGCTGCACATTGTGGTGTAGTGGTGAAGAGCATGGGACTGGGACGCAGATGATCTGGGTTCGAGTCCCTGCTCGGCCATGGAGCCAACTGGGTGACTTTGGGCCAGTCACAGACTCTCAGCCCAACCTACCTCACAGGGTTTTGTTGTGGGGATAAGATGGAGGAGGAGAATGATGTAAGCTGCCTTGAGCCCTTTGTAGGAAAAAGGCAGGATATAAATTGAAAAATAAATAAATTAGCATTTCAAAATGGTGAGTTCTCTGCTTGGTGATGTTTATTATCTAGTTTAAAGGCAAGAAGTGGGATAACTGATACTGAAAAAGTGCGTCCTTTTGTCA